CCCCAAAACCCCAAAACCCCAAAACCCCGTATCGTGAAATATTATTGAATATTATTATCCATTTAACTACTGACTTTCCATTTTATTTTTGTTTCATTTTATAAACTCGAGCTTTTCTCCATCCCTCCAAAAACTCATCTTTTTGGACTTGTCGAGATTTGTTTTTCTGAAGATTAGGCAAAGTTTTATTGATAGCCAGTTTCCTTGAGTTTATGATAGATATGACAACCTTCTTCTTCCTCTCTCTTTCAATTTCCTCTTCAGTCTTCTTGTGTCATTTTTCCTTGCACCCTCTAAATGAATCTCTGATTTTGAGCGGAAATATGATTCCCCAGTTGAATATGAACATGACTCCTAATATACCAATGCAGACATAGCCATAGAGTTGAAGTTTTTCTGAATCTTCAGGGTTCAGAAAATTAGTGAGGGTAATTCAGAATACCATTAGGAATGTTTCATTCACACAGTTCAAGAAATTATTAACTTGGCATTTAAATGGCCGATATACTATCATGTAGGATATTATCCAATAAAATAAAATAGTAAGACACACCAACTGGGTCCTTGGGAAGCTCTGAAGTGCGATTACAACTCAAGCGATCATAATCCTCCTAAGAGTAAAGTATGAGTAAAACATCATTCACTTAATGTGATTGGTTTTAAACTCTAAAAACAGAAAACAGTGTCTCTCAACTTGTTCCGGGCAAGTTTTAATCTTCTCAAAGTTTATAATCGGCCATACTGTCGCATAAATCAGGAGCAATATCAACATTACTGAAAGCAATAGAGCTAACATAAATGAAATGATCTCAAATAAACTGTCTAATTTTCCATAGAGCAAGTTAATCAGAATGGAAATAGACAAGGTCATCGAGATTTCAACGACGAATCTGGTTGAGGATTCATACCTGAGAGATTTGTCAACTTTTTCAATTCTTTTAGCAATACAATTCTTTTTGCAGCATTTGGATAACAAATAAACTAAGAGGATCATAATTCCCACCATGAATAGTAAGAACATTCTATCAAAAGAATTGGCAATAATGCTTGATGAACCAAAGCCAAGTGATGAAAAGTCTTTATTCATTGGAGAAGATACATTCTTGAAACTTTTAATCAGGATACTAGAGAGCCATTTAGTCAGAGGATTATCAAAATTTGAATACTTTAGATAAGAAATCAAAGCTTTCAAATTTGAAGGACAGTGTAAGTCAAGCAATCCCATGATAAACAGGATTTGTAGAGTATTTGCCAAGCTCCACATCAGCTCCATAGATGATCCAGTTAATACGCTAATCATCAGCGAAAGTCCAAATGTTGCCACAAACATGATTGATGTTCCTGATCCTGCTGATTCTGCTTCCTCTGTTGGTGGTATAGCTTCAAACACATATTTAAATTCCAATTTGTTAGAAATTGGTATTTTGTCTTGGCTGATGAATGCATTGACATTATCAAGGGAGACTTCTAAAATCTCCCCATTTCCTCCCAAAATCAGAGGAGTTATGGCATATTTCACCTTAAGCTCTGTGGCTGATTGGAATGATGCCAACCAAGTCACATCATAAGAAGACATAGATGAGTAAACACTCATTGAAATATCAGTTCCTGTGAAGTTGTAATTTACCATGGAGTCATTGAAAGTGTATACCAACTCAAAAGTCTCAACTGAATGAATGTTCTTCGAAACAATAGGAGGAAAGAACATTGAGATTCATAAGTCTCTAGCAAGAGCGGAATCATAACTTCAGACAAAGTTAGGTTCTATTTGACAAGCAGAATTTCATCCATCAAAGTCCATGGAGTTTTTGTCATCTCAAGTCTCTCCTGGATCATGGACTCCGTTACCTCAGTTAGGAGAGCAAATACTAATCTCCCCATCAAGCTGAGTTCATGTATTGTTTGGCTCAATAGTACATTCGCTACTTCAGCCATCACCGTTAAAAATATTACCATCGTCACATGATTCATTATCAACTAAATTCTTTTCTCCATTGCCTCAGCTACTTTCTCAAATGCTTTTGCCTAAATGAGAGGCAGCTCAGTAATGGTAAGGCTCTGTTTCGCAGAATTGGTCACATCCATCTCCGTTTATCATGTTCCCATCATCGCATGAGAAGACTTGAGGGGTATTATGCATGATTCCATCCCCACATTTTTCATATCAAAATCTTCCATGGAGATAGTAGCCTTTGTTTCAAGTTTCAGTTGCTGAATCCCCTTCTCCTTGTTTGTTGACTCAGTACCCTTTTGGCTCAAGAAAATCTTCTATATTGGTATAAGTCTAAAATTTTACGACAAGCATCTCCTCCTGATGATGGATATGATGCATAACCACTGTAAAAGTTCCATTTTAACGTGTTATTTCCATCTTCAGTCCAAGCTGGGAGTTGATGATAGACACTTGTCCAGGATATAGGCCATCTGTATAGCTTTACGCTTGTAAGAATGACTTCTCGACCGGTAAATCTTAGCTTGATAGTCTCTTCATCTATCACATGATTCGTATATGTATCATTATCTATACAATGTATTAGTCTCGTTAAGCCCAATTTAAAGTAGTACTTACTTCTACCTATCATATCATAGGCTGACCCTGGAGGACTAAAGCTCTTGTAATAAAACCATAACTTTTGGTGGGTGGCGTTAACCCTAGCCATCGAGAAATATATTTTCTTCCACTCTCCATATATCAATTTATCTTCCAAGTCAGAGACGTCTGTTCCTTCAATTTTTGATTTCTCTGTATCGAGCTCTAACTAAGGATACAAAGCTAAACCTAGAGGAGCTATAGATTGAATTAGATAGAGATGACATAACAAGTTGTTACCAGAAATTTAAACCTGAAAAAGAAATTAGCGATATAAATTTGAAAATGGAAATCAATAGGGACCATCGTAATTTTCATTAAATGGGTTTTGCTCATCCATTTGCTCCTTTTATGAAATCTGAATTTTCAAAGAATAATTGGACTTTAAAGTCTTAATTCTTTAACTTACTCATAATCTGGACTAATAACTTGCAACCGGGATCATATCAGAAGACATCCACTTCTATCGTCATGTGGGAAGAATTATTCAAATAAATTATGTCTGAGTCTCAATATGTGTCGATTGAGTGTGAAAAGATCCATCCCATATTACTGATACCAATTGGGATTGCACTGTTAGTAGTCTCTTTTTGTAAATAAATTGAGGTGGGAGTTCCAGTCAGGTCAACTCCTTCACTATATTAAAATATTGTATTTCATACAAATTAAGCTTAACTAACTTTTGTTTTTAAATTTTGAGAAAACTCTATAATTATTGTAAATATAAGAAATAAGACAACTCCAAGGAGGGAATGAGCTTTAAACTCTTTCTAAAGATTATTTTGTATCCTTTATTCAAACTTCAAAAAGAGTTGACAAGATTCATAATCTACCACTTCTTGATTCTTCTCCACCCATTTTGGAGATTTTCTATCAATAAAAAAATAACTGCAAATAAAAAGAGGATGATAAATCAGTGCTTATCAATAGAAAGATACTCGCAGAAGGCTATTAGCAATTTGTTCATCATGAATAGTCATAACGAAGGCAAAGAAAAAGCAGAAATTTTAATATCACCTATATTTTGTAGAAAGCCCTCCAAACATATAATATTTATTCTTACCTTCTGACTTTATTAGAAGCATATCCATTGAGAATGGTATCCTCCAAGTTGAAATGGAGAAGATAGTTAGCTGAATAATTTTCTATCATCCAGGACCTGGTATCGGTAGAGCCCACAGTTAAGTAATCAACAACTGTTATCTTATACACAAGGCCGACAAGGCAATCAGAAATAACATTGGTGGCATCAACAAAGCTTCCTAATGAATAATACTGAGTGTAGGGATGATTTGAAGTAAGATTTGCCATATTGAAGCACTCTATTGATCCATTGTAGATGTAATAGCATGCTTTAAGATTTTCAGGACTGCTTGGAAAGAAGCCTTGGTCGCATTCAGCATCAAGTTGAAGATTTAGCATTTGCCAACCTTCTGAAAACGAATCATAAGGTATATTTATTTCTCTTGCAAAGTAATTTGTATTATCAAGTGTTCAGCTAAAAGCAATTATTCTATCCCCACTCAATAAAGAAGCTCTAGCTCAACAATTAATATACCTTTCATTCAAAGCTCCAGAGATATTGAAATAAGTCTTGAAGGGCAATCAGAAAAGAGTGATGTCTATAAAACCTTCATAGATATTCACCCAGACTGTAACAGAAGTCTCATAATTAGTATTCGTGTCCCCTCTTGGCAACGATCCTGTAAAACTGATGGTATCATCACCATGAGTTCTTAAAAATCCTCCCTCAGTATCTAACATTTTCTTATTTGATAAGGTAAAGTTCCCTGTAGAGAGTCTGAAGTGATGATCTGAGACATTATAAAAACTACTAAATTTGAAAAATAAGTCTTCCTGTAAACAAGAAGTGCTTGGCATGAGGCTAATGATAACCAGGTACAAGAAAAGGCTAACAACACTTTTCCAAGCTCTCTCATTTAAATGTGTTAAAATCCTTTTTCAATGTCATATTATAAATTCTCTTTTGTTCATCTGCTTTCACCTATAAAAGAAACAATTAAGATGTCTACATAAAAAACATTTCCCTCTTTCAGACAGAAATAGTGATACAGAAATACTGTAAACCTTAAAGCACAACGATGGACAAGTTATCTATAAAAGCATGGACCTCAAAACTCCTTAATTTCTTACTTGCGCTTTTTAGTGTTCATCCCCATCATTGAAATCTAAGGTGATATGTATATTAATAATTGCTAAGCAAGAAGGGGTTTTGGGGTTTTGGGGTTTTGGGG